TTTGTTTTAAAATTTAATTCATGTTGGTAGGTAGGTAGACAATCTATACTTGATTTGATACTCTACACTTATTATTGCAAATTCCATGATTCTCTAGATTGATATGTGCTCTCATTAGATACATTTGTTAACTAATTGATGGATTATGCATTTGTCTTGCTGGGTTGTTTTACACTTATTTTACTTGTTGGTTAGGTAGATAATTCACACTTGTATTAGATGGTTCACACTTTTGCATGCAAATTGTGTTTATGTTTGTGACCACATTTAGATTGCAACAATGTATTCCCCATTAATGGAAAGTAAGTGGTTAATTACATGAACTTAGTGGTAATTCCAACACCTTAAGACCTCTCTTCATATCTCTTAAATCCCTATCCCTCATTAGTTTACTTTACTTGCATTTTAATTAATTACATCTTAGTGTAATCAACTAACCCAACCCTCCTTTGCAATCAATTGATACATTAGAATCAAAATTAGATTCCAACACGTATAATCTTATGGGAGGATCCCTTCTCACTCATACTACATAGTATAGGTGTTAAGCGGTTTATAAATTTAAAGTATGATGCCCACTTGACACTAATTTCCAAACTCAAAATGTTGTGCATTATTTTGTGCACACGCTCGGGTTGCATCATCAAGCAAAGTAAATAATCGCATGCTTTACACACAGAGAAGAGAAAAATGATATGGGATCGTGCTAGGGGTTTCATGAAACATCATTTAAGTCATCAAACATCATTATCATCAATTCCAAGTAATGCAATGCATGAAATGCATTATGCAACCAGATACCACACACATACCCTCGCATATCCACACACCCACATCGAAAATGTACTAGCTAGCCGGACCTTGGGTTCCTCCCTCAGTTCCTAGGGAAAATTTTGCTACCGTCCCTGACGAAAAGGTACCTCCCAACCGCCATTTGGGGCCCGAGTCGCTAAAATTTCTCACGAGTACCTCCCGTATCCCTATAAACTAGTTAGCACCACCGATAAAGGGGTACCTCCCTAAGGCTGGGTTTGAGAAAAACCTTTCCTCAAAACTTCTAAAATTCACATTTCGCCCCCTTTCCACATTCCAAGCATTTGCTTCTACACACCCACTTAACATGATTATAAAAATGTCATCAATGCCATGTGGATGAAATGCACTATGTGTAAACCATTCAACATTTCATTAAGATTCCTCAATTAAAAAAAAAAAAATTTCATGTTTACAATAATATTCAATTGATGACATGACATCATTTGATAGTATTATAAACAAATTGCATGCAATAATATCATTTTCACAAGATTCTAACATACTTTAGTCCTAGGGTTCATCAAATAGCACCTTGCACAACATCTTACTAACAATTGCACGCAAAATATCCATGTAATCACATATAGCTCATCAATTCAACAAATACTTCAACATACGAAAAAATCCTAGGTATCAATTAACTTACTAACATCAAATTAACATGCTAAAAGAGGGGGAAAACATGAAATTAACTACAAAACCTTAGGAATTTGACAATTAGATAACTCTACCTCCAATGATTCAAAAAGCCCCAATTTTTTAAATCCTTAATGTCCACCAAATGCAACCTTTCTCTGGTAAATCGAAGCTCTCATCGAGCTTTCCAACATTGCCTCCTATGGCAAAGACCAAATCCAAGTGGAAGAGGTTGAAATCAAGGGTTGAAGCTTGTAAAAATTGTGTTTGTAGAGAGACATATTTTTAGAGAGCAAAAAAATAAACCCACAGTTTGGAGGAGAAGAAAATGGGTGAAAATTCTGATCATGTGGCCCTTAGTCATGGCCTTGGTCAACTGCCGGGTCCCACATTGACTCTTAAAATGTCTAAAATGCCCATCCTTGCAAATACACATTATAACAATGCCACATTGTACATTTAAACACATACTCACATATATATACACCAAATAATAAATATGGTATTCATTGAACTCAAAAATATCGCCTGCGTATGACAAATCCGAGTGTGGGGCTCACGGGGGACCTTCCGGCTAAAAAAATTTGAAAAAATGGGGAAATGAACCGTAATGCATTTCTAAGAGTTCTAAACTCAAAGAAATGCCCTAAATAGCTCTCGGGACCCACACGGCACGCTAACGATGGTCGGCATGTAAAACAAAGTGCCGAAGAAAATAAAAATGAAAAATCCAGAAAAATGCCAAAAATGCAGAATGTCACATAAGCATGATTATTCTTCCTTCATTTCTTTGCTTACTTATATGATTTCTTGAGCATGGGTCATGTATAGGAAGGGTCGGTTAGCCACTCTTTACTGGGCAAGTGTTGCTCACCTCATTAACATTTTTCTGGTAACGAAAATGAAATGGATGAGAACCCACAACCACAAGCTTAGAGACTCCTATATCAGCTTTTGGATTACATTTTGTCGTGTCTAGTCTATTCTCATGCTATTTTGCTAGGTGTTTCATGTGGTTAGTAGCACTAAACCCTAACATAATCTTTGGCAGTCTAGTTGTTGATGACGTAACTATATTTCTTTTGGAGGGACTTGTGTTCAATTGACATGTATATTTTTTGGATAACTTTCTTATTTTGTATCCGTTGTATGTATATGGGATGTGGGTATATCAATGGATGTAAAAAGGGGTCATTTTGTCAACTATATGTGTAAATCTTTGTTATGTGATTTGGGTGTTGTGTTAGGATGGGTGGGACAGGTTATTACCACTTCACATTATCATTTTACCCATAGTTTGATAGTCAAACTTGGGGAAGAGTCCGTTTTGTATTCGTCTCCATTCATCACTCGGATCTATAGATTTGGGTTGTGACGTAGGAATTTGTTCTACCGTGTAATTCATTCTCATTGACATTTAATTAAAAAGCAACAACAAAAAACAACCACCGACCAAATATATATTTTATTTCTATAATAAAATGATTTTTTACATACAATTTTGAATCTTTGTAACACCTTTTTGATACAGAATGGATTGTATAAATATTATGTAATCCGGAATCCATATATTTTAAATTTTATTTATCGTCATTACTTTTGAAAATAATTTGTTCAGTTCTCGAGTTTAAAATTTTATATGTTTAGTTTAATTTAACAGTTTTGAGACACTCACATTTATAATTATATTAACGAGTACTACTTCAATAATTTTAATTATTTATGTTTGAATTGACAATTTTTTATGACTAGATTTGACATTAACATTCATTGTTAATTAAATTAATATATTTCGTTGAGTGAATGTGATTATTTTATTAATATTTTATATTATAAATATAAAACTGTTGTGAGTGCAAGATATTTAGGACAAAAATGTAATATGTATAACTTTCAAACTTCAGCTTTTGTATTTAACAAACAACAATCTTAATGAATTCAGTGTTTAAAATTAAATTATTATCAAACAAATTTTCAAATTAATACATTCAATACTTAAAATTTCAACGCTTAAAATTCAGTACTTGAAATTTGTAGTGTTTAATTTTCAGTTTTATCAAACAACATCTAAAAATATTAAAATTTTCTCAAATTCCACCAATTTCAAAGTTCCAATTCCATATAATCGAACACACCCTAATGAATTATGAGAGCCTTGGATTTGGGTATTTATAGTCCCATGGCGCCTATTCAGTTGCACCTTTTCGGTTCATTGGGTGCAATGATTCATATCAAATAGACATGGGTTATGTCTATTGATTTATAACCTCTTAACTGACATCCAAACACTGCCTTACTCGCATAGACACAACCCATGACCCAAAGAATCACACCTTTACCCATTCAATTCAGATTAATTTCTTACCCAGATTATATTTGGGTGGGTTTTTGGATTCTAGATTATCGTAGGTAATTATGACCCAACCCAATATAAATGGATCAAACCAAATCCAGTCAAAATATCTATTTAATATGAAAAAAAAATAAAAATAAAAATAAAATTTACTTTTTATCCCAAGTCTAGACCAAACTTGCCCTCACCATAAGCCCTCGGGCGCCTATGGTGATGGATTTGGACCTAAACTTGCCTATGGCCTTCCCCTTTTGAAAATTTGAAAGCTTTATGTTCAATCTTGTACAAGTTTTTACTTTTGTAAGCATGCATTTGTATTCTTTTCCATATATAACTAGTTTGCTATTGTAATGTAAACCTATTTTTTTGTCCTTTAAAAAGAAAAAAGAAAAAATAAAAAGGAGGCCATGTCTAATTCTATAGTCTTTTTGACTTTGTAATCATAGGCCCAACCTAAATTTGCCTATGTCTTTTCCCTTTTAAAAATTTGGGTGCCCAAAAAGTGACTTCTGAATATTTATATACTCACAATATTTTCCTGTCATTTTTCAACGTGAATAACTATTTCTCACCAAAAAAAATAAAATAAAATAACTATTTCTCACAAAAACCCATTCCATCTATCAAATACTTCATTCTCAATTTTAATTTCTCATTCACCCAAAAATATATACATATATATATATATATTCGGAAGTTCACCCCAAAATAGTTTTGAACAAATTGATATACAACATTACCCATCGTAAAAATTTACCATTTAGCATTTTGTGATTGAAAAAGTAAAATATAAGTAGCAACAAACAATGTGATGGTAACCAATACCAAACATGTGCCAAGTGAAAAGAAAAAAAGAAACAAAGAAAGAAATAATTAATGGTTGACTTGTGGGTATATATCAAAACATAACAAAGAGAGGCCAGGGAACCAAATTAAGATGATTAGATTCTCTGGCAGCAAAACTTGAAAGAGTAGGATGCAAGCAAAGAACTTTCTTCTACTTTCCCCACGCAAGAAGTGACCAATTTCGGAAATCATAGTTAAACCCTTTTTCTAGGTAAAGAAAGCATATTTGAAGTCCTTGAAGATGATACAAAGTATGGAAAGCATATTAAAAAAGGTATATCTAATTTCAAAGAAAACGTACACAAAAGCAGTACTCAATGATATTGTTGGCACATATGCGTAGGATATAAATGTAGCCAACCTCGCATTTCTTTCTCATTCAAAACGTACATATTTCAACTAACAGGCAATTAATCAGACAAATTAAGGCCGATCGATCAAGATGAGTCAAACTTACGAGGATTTCGAGCCAGCCAGCGAGTGGGTACGTGAGGAAGATTGCGACACTCTTGTTGTCTATCTGGGCGGTACTGTATTCCTTCACTCCCTTGTCCAATAATTTGAATACATATTTTTTTTTTTAGGTAAATAATAATTTCAATACATTAGTTTGGTTTTTGTTCTGATCAAATTTATCACTGCCATGTTCATTAACTGCAAATAATTTTATTTTGCCATCGCAAATCTCAGAAAGCATTCTAGTCTACATGTGTCTGAGTCTTTTGCATGTTTACTCGGTAAATTACGATATTGAGTCTTAATTGTATAGCTCGGTAAAGAAAGAAATTGTATCAAATTATCAATTTTTTTTTTATTGCAAATATAAATCGTATTTTTGATTTTCCAAGGAAAAATACTTGTCCCCTCTACACGTGGGGCACAATGATAAAATGGCCTGCGTCTGTTTTTAAAGTTAAAATTTGTAAAGAAAAATTAAAAAAAAAAGAATTTTATTTTTCTCTCTTATATTTAAAATTAAAAATGCATGCATACATGTTATTCTATATTGAGTCTTGATTGTATAGCTTTAATTGTAAAGTATTGTTCTATCTTGAGGTTAATGCATATATACAGTAATATTCTTCTAGCTAGTGAATATATATATATATATATATATAGTTAAATTATGTGTGTGAGTCGTGCAGGTTTTAAGAAGGAGCAACTGAGGGCTCAATTAACGACACCAAGAAACCTGGTTGTCAGCGGGGAACGGCCACTTGGAAAAAACAAATGGAGGCGTTTTCAGAAAGTGGTCACCATTTCAGAAAATTGTGACACTGACAAAATTACCGCAAAGTTTGAGGATAGCGTACTGACTATTAAACAGCCAAAACTGATCACTCCAAAACAAAAACAAGATCAAGAAAAGCCCATCACTACTACTACTGCATTAGCTCCAAAACCACCTCAAAATCTCCAGCCGCCACAACCACAACCACCTCAAAACAATGTTCAACAACCACAACCACAACCACCTCCACCTCCACCTCCTCCTCAAAAGAGTGTTCAACAACAACCTCAAGCTAGGAATATTGATGATCAAGAAGCTGCCTTCAAAAAGGCCGATATGGCTAACCAGGAAAATGAGAAGACTGATGATGGGTTAGCAAAGCCTAAAACTGTTAATGTTCCTGATCAGAAGCTGCAGCAGGCACAAGAAAAGGACAATAATATTGGCGATGGAAAGATTAGGTCAGAGAGGGAAAAGTCGTCGTCCTCCTTGTTGTCCTCTGATGATAAAAATGTTGATAAAGAGAAGGAAAAAATTAGTCCTGAAAAAACATCAAGTACTGAGAAACGTGAAGTTCTCAGTACTACTACACGCAAACAAGTTGATGGTGGTCTAGAGAATCCGCTGAAGATACCAAAGCAGTTGATGAACTTGGTTCTGGTTCTTCTATGTGTTATTGTACTAGGGCTTTATTTTTCCAATTCAATTTGGTCCTACAAGAAACCTGAAAATTGAATTGTGTAATTAATGTACTTTGCTAACTATCATCATCACGTTGTTTTCCAATGAAAAATAAAAAGTGAATAAAGGGAGTTACATGGTTTGATCAATACCTCTAGTAAATTAATGCAAGTATATATATATATATATATATATATATATATATATTACTTTAAAATATATGTAAGAAACACATTCAAATTGGGAATTTCCAGTAAGAGCTGTATAAGACAGGTGGGATCCAATTTCACAACTTAGATGGCCGAACCAGAAATTTAATTGAGAAAACTACCAAAAAAAAAATAATAAAATTACAAATGTGTTGTGTCGGAATCCCCAAATTACAAAAATAATGATTTCAGAAATCACAGTTAGACCCCTTATCTAGGAGAAAATGTGCTAAGTCTGAAAAAATTACAATAAAGACCCGAAATTCCACTTTCTTTTATTGTTCCATTTCTATCCACTGTGCCGTTTTACGAAAATGGGACCAACCAATATAAAAATATTTGCACGAATAACATTCAGGTCCGAAATTAGATCATCAAATCAGGAATTTCAATCAAGTTAGTGAAAAATTATAACAAATCTCTATAAAAAAGAAGTTCAAGAATTATCTAGAAAATTAGATTCAATCAAGTTAGATTTAAAAGACAAGCTAGCTTTAAGAAAATAAATCTTAAATCTTAGGATTACAAACCTAGAAAAGTAAGTAAATCAAATCTTGAGAAATAAAGAAATATATTCAACTAAAGTTTAATTGGCATAAGTAGTTAAAACTCTGGAGAATAGTGACAAAAATCTAAGCGACCAAGTAATTGGTGAACTTAGAACTAAAACTACAGAAATCGAAAGAATATTCATAACTTGACCCAAATCAACACATTCCTCCTAAAAAAAGAACTGAAAAATTAGACAAGGCTACTTTTCAGATTCAAAGTGAAATCAAACTATTAACTCAAAAAATTGAAAAAAGATTATGAACAATTTTCAAGAATAGGTAGTCTAAAAACTACAATCTCAAGACAGTCAAGCCGTAAAAATATAATAGAGTTAGAGAGATCTGTTAAATCCTTAATAAAATAAAAAGAAAAAGGACAAAAGCAAATAAAAAGAATATTTGCATAAGGACATAGGTGGTTTTAGAAAACCTAATCCCCCTGTAATAGTGAAGCTAGTTAAAATGATAAAGGCATTGACCCAAAGTTGAAAATCAGTATCTGAAAGAATGGATATAAAAAATATAGAGGAAATAAAACTAAGAAGTAATTCTAATAAAATAAGAGAATATCAAATTCAAGAACTTGAATTCAGACAACTCTATCAAATTAGAAGAATTGGCCTAAGACCCACATATAGATTCAAAAAGGTCGAGATGACACATTCCTTTACCAGTGAAGAAACAAACATTATGTTACTTGATAGAAATCAAATGCTTAGAGATCAAAACCAAGGATACAACTACGTTCATATAGGCACACTGTTAGGAGCAATCCAAGCAGATACTGGCAAACAAGTTATTTTCTTTAATGTTATCCCTAACTTTATAGTTGGCATCGACATGTTGGCGAAGCTTTAAAAATCACGTTAGTAAATAATGGGATGAAATTTAGAAAAAATAGATTCAATCTCATAATTGAATATAGAGTGTATTATAAATTAATGAAAATAAATGTTCCAGGGAGTTTACTCACCCAATCCTGAAGAAAAATAAAATTCATCCAAACTAGGCTAGAAACCATACGTATTAGCCTAAAATCTCAACTCTCCTGTGATGGATGCAACAAATCAATCAACCAACTTCCTCCACATACATTGATCCCATGCTCCCATGCTTTCAACAGTATACAAGAAAAGTAATTTGCCTCCGCGCGGGCTCACGATCTATATAAGTATGTAAAAACATGCCTCCGCACTGATCGACGATTTAACTAGAGATTAAGTTTAGAAAGAGCTCACAAAGGATCCTTAAGCACTTCAAAGCATTTTTCAAATTTTTAGCTTAGCTTTGCAATTTTTAGATTTTCGGCCTTTTTGTGCTTAGCTTAACTTCTTGCTTTTCAATTCTCCTTTGCTTGATTTCCTTACTCAATTCACCTAGTCAATCAAGAACAAACACAATAAGTAACCAAAAATAAAATAAAATAAAGACACGATCAAAAGAGTACTAATTCCTATTTGTTTCCAAAACACGGCTTTGCCAATTCAATATCCCTGACAACGACGCCAAAAACTTGGTGTGCGGTGTCGCGATGCAACCAAATTTGCAAAATATAGTGTGGTCAAGTTTTAAATTTATAAATGCCACTACTACCTCTAACTAAAAATATATCTAGGGTGAGTAAGGATCATCCTAAGGGATTTGTGGGCGTGCTTGTAATGGAAACAATGAATAGGGTTAGTTGGTCGAGTGATCAAAAGAGGGTTTGTTTGGTTGATTAAACTATAATGCAATTGAAATTTAAACAAGCAAAATATGATAATTTAGAAGATAGGGAAAAAGATATAGAGGAAAGGACTTGGGGTACTAGAGCTCACCACTAAGCTTGACTTCATTAAACATTAGCAATTGTATATCAATGGAGAAATTGAATTGTAATTTATGTATGTATGTGACATTAATTGAAACTAGGCATGGATGGCAAATAAGTATAGATTGTCTAGCCAGTTCAAATGGAAAGCATAACCTATCAAATGAGACCAAAATCCATTAAATGAAACCACAATTTATTCACACACAACTATCTAGAAACAAGCACTCTTTGCATTCATAAGTATGGAACACCAAGGAACAAGAATAGATTGTCCACCTATCTATAAATCTAAAGCAACTACACTACATCTACACTAAAGACATGGAAATTAAACTAAGTAAGCTAAAGGTGTGACACAATCCATCAAGAAATAAATGTGAACCATCAAATAAATTAGAGTGTTCAATTAAGCACTATGTTTTGATCATCACTAGATTAACTTCATCCATACACATAGACATGCATAAATTGCATTAAATCTAGAGAAAAACACATGAATCATCCATTCTAGTGATCGGCTGGTCAATTAAACATCAACTTTCGCAATAGCACGAATCATTGTAAAATAGGGCTATTGGTCGGGTAAGTCGAACCACTGGGACTGCGTTAGTCTAAGGCAACCTAAGTGTTTAGAGTCATTCTTAGGATGATGAAGGGGTGTTCATAGAGGTTTTGTTTGTTGTCACTTAAATTAGGAATTCAAAGTGCATAAAACACTAATTTGCAAGGAATTTAGGATGAAAAGATTAAGAAGAGGAGACTAGGGAAGTGAATCCGCCTCCATCCCTATACATATGCTAGATTAGACCTAAATTGGGGGAAAAACAACATATGATGGTCAAGACTTACATAGCAACACATGGTTGCCATATAAGTAATCAAGAGGTACATTAGGTCTCAAACAAGTATAATCCATCAAAAGATAAACATGCTTAGACTACCTAACTAAGGTGTAGCTTATACACATTTACTTAAATGAGAGACTATCAAGTTCTTGACAAAATGATAAAGCACATGGAGTTAGAGATTAAGCATACACCATCAAAGGATTTCCTAAGCAATGGTCTATCAAAGTCACCTATCAACATGCCATAAAACCATTTCATAACCTTGCTTCCACTCTCACCATGAAAAACTCAAGCAATATGATTACTCTAAGACATCATCTAAGACAAGATAATCAACTTAAAGAAATCATCCATACATGTATCAACATTCATTACAACAAATAAGGTGCTCTTGGTTATGAAAAGACCACAAAATATACACGGCAAATCCCCAAAATAGACTATCCTAGGACATGCTTACAAGGGAGGGACTTCATCACCTCCCTAGAGAAAGAGTTAGTTACCCATTGCTAAGCTAGAAGAAGGAAGAAGCTCCAGCCAAGACTCCATTTTCGTGCTCCTACTGTAGCACTCAAGAACACCCTCCTCCTTGCTCTCTTCTCTCTCCTCTATCTTGCTAGAATATAGGATAGGATGCATGTGGCCCTTAGTTGCCTTATATCTATCAACTAAGCTCTCTCTCTCCTCCAAAGACATTCCTAACCACTCCATAAAGAAGGAGGGTGGAAATGTGGAAACCAATGCACAAGTGGGCTGAAGAGGGGTACATTTCTGAGCTGCAATCTGGCTGATTTTCGAGCACTCGAAGAGTGGTCTCGAGCACTCTAAATTAGTGTAATGTGCAACATGCTCTTCTTGCTCAACACTGACCTACTTTAGTAAAACTGCTATAACTTTGTGCCCCGAACTCCGAATGATGATCGGTTTGAAGATTTGGAGAGCTGATTCAGTGCTTCAAAAACTTCATGTTTTGATGAAGACCCAATTCTCAAGTTTGGTTGGTCGAAAATGGGGAGAAAGGCAGTACTTCAGTGCTGCTAGGCAGTTCTGCGCACCTCTGTTAAGAAGATCATAACTCTCTGTTCCGAACTCCGAATGATGAACCGCTTGAAGATTTGGAAAGCTGATTCAGAGCTCTAAATCTTTCATGTTTTGATGGAAGTCCAGTTCTTGAGTTTGCTAGGTCTAAAATGGCGACAAAAGTCAGGTTCTACCGCTGCCGGAAATTCAGAATTGGCACCCTTTTTGTTCATAATTCCACAAGGCATCATTTTTGCTTCCTTTTTGCACTTTAACCTAAAAATGCACAAAAACATGCAAATAGAGTGAATCTACATAAAATAATCAATTAATGGACTTTGTTAATGTAATTTAGGGTGCCTGAATATACAGTATTCAGCGCTTATCACACCCCCAAACTTACATTTTGCTAGTCCCTTAGCAAAACCAAAATGCAAAGCTCAATGGAATGAAAACACGGGAATGCTATTACAAAAATATTCACCATGGCAAAAATAAACATAAACATAGCTCAAATACAACTTGAAACAGATAAAGAGCTGGAGACGGGATCATTGGGAAGACTACCTTGCATATATGAAGCATTGATACAAAAATTGGGAAAAACCATTTCAACATGCATGCATCAACATCATAGTCCATATAAATAATTCAATTGTCATCTCTTAAATGGAAATAACTCAAACTCCAGTGAAAGTGAATTGGATT